ATCTTAATTTTTAGCTAAGATTTCACCTATTATAACTCGCTTAATTTATAAGCTATACGTATAAAAACTAATGCATTATAAAGAGCTAAATTAGCTCTATTAAAGTATAATAATAATAACCTTATAAGTTTTATAATTAACGTTATATTTATAATTAAAATTTCCCTCTATAATTACATATTACACTATAAATGTAGTTATAGTGTAGTTAAACTACACTAAAACTATAAAAACTACACTACACTAAAAACTACACTAAAAAACTACATTTAGTGTAGTTTTTTTGTTAATGCTCTAAAGATACCTTAATAAGAAAGAAGTAACTTATTAAGGGCTTACTTTAATAATAAGAGGTTCTTATAATTAAATCCCTATAATTAAAACCTAAACTCAATTAAGTAAGAAAGGCTACGTTATTATAACTATAATAATAAGAATTACCTTTAACTTACTTATAATAAATTACCTAAAAATAACCTAAATAATTAAGAAAACGCTTAAAGGTTAAAGTAATTACCTTTACTTTAACCCTAAGCTAAGAAGTATTAATAGGTTAATACTTTAATATAAAGGTTATTATATATAAGTATAACGCTATAAAAATCTACGCTAATCTTAATAGTTATATAATACTTAATCTTATTAATATTAACTTTATAAGGTAATAAGAATTACGTTAAGTAAAGGTAATAGCCTCTATTTTATAGTTAATTAAGGCCCTTATAATCCTTTAATATAATGTGTATAAAGTACTCGTTTAAGCTACTAACTTTTACGAGTGTAAGCGTATCTTAAAACTATTATCACTAAAACTATAAAAACTACATTACACTAAAAACTACACTAAAAAACTACATGTAGTGTAGTTTTTTTGTTAATGCTCTGGATACTACCGCTTACTTTTAATATTCTTTTATTTTTTATCTTACTTTGAGTATTTGTGTTTATTATTATAGTATTTTACCTGGGATACTACTACTTACTTCTAATATTCTTCTATTTTTTATCTTACTTAAAGTATTTTTTTAACTTAGTTTCTTACTTCTAGTATCCTCTCTCTCGTAATATTATCCCTAATATTATAGTATATACAAGGCTTAAACCCTATTAGGAGTTAATTTAGCGAGGTATTAGTTATTAAATTAATAGTATTACTACACGTAAACTATACTTAGACCTCTAAATGTATTGTATTTTTTGTATTTTTTACTACTCTGTATTATATTATATTATAATGTAATATATTACAATACATTACAAGATTAGAATACCTATAAATGTATTA